GGTGAGATTTGAACAGCCGAACTGCAGAACTGCAGTCAGCTGAAGTAGCCTGCAGTGCTGCATTTAACCACTGCGCCACCTCGGCTCTTACTATTAGTAAGTTTCTCCTGAATTCCAGGTTGCTTGATTTGTTTCCATCCATTGTTTCTTGTCTTGCCTTCTGGTGCTTTGGGAAATAAGTTGACTCCCTCAAATACTGGGATTCTGCTGTCGTGTCAGCCCTTCTCTGCAGGAATCGGGTTGAATAGTCCAGAGGAAAGTCCTTCTTTTCTCTAGATTAGCCCAACCCAATTCCTGCAACCGTTCTTCATATGTTTTAGTCTCCAGGCTTTTAACCATCTTGGTTGCGCTTCTCTCTACTTTTTCCAAAGTCTCAACATCTTTTTTGTAATGTGGTGGCCAAAACCATTTGCTGGCGATATGATGTAATGTGACCTCAAAGTGTTACCAATGAGTTCAGTTTGTAGATTTGAATTTTTTTTTTCTTGCAGAATGTTAGAACTTGATGTTGGCCAATATTTCTTATTTTTTTGAACCAATATATATGGAACCTTATGGGTATCTCCAGAAGATAACTATATCTTCCTACTGTCCTCATCACTGCCGGAAAGAACTCACTTACTCCAACTGTCTTGGGAGTATTGTTTCATCTGAACTTCTTTTGGGATGGTGGGTATAATTGCCCCATGGCTTTTGATTATGTATGGTGAGCACAGTAATGGTTTATATGAATAAAATTATGCTTAGGCCCTGTGCTTTGTACAACTGGCTTCAAACTAATAATTACTGCACTGTAAATTTTTAAAAGTCTCCAGCTGCAATTTTGTACATTGCTGAGAATTGCTGGGTGCACAATCACTTGTTGTCAGTTTAAGCAGAATTCTAGCTTTAATGATGCCCAAGCAGAAAGCTGATGCTCCAATGCTCCCACTTCTCACTGGTTGTCAGCCAAAGCATCTAATTAATGAAGTCCGTTTACGCCCATGAGCTCACCTTGGATTTTAAATGAGTGGAGCAAGCTTGCTATAATTATCTCGGGTTTTTATTTTTGGTGCGCATCAGAAAGGTTTTCAAATTCTGGCTTGCATCTTTTTTTTCTTACACTTACCAAATTATATCAGTTGTTTTGAATTGGATCAGCTGAGCTGCGCATTGAAGCCTGCAAGCAATGTTGGTTTGCTGGCGGGATTATTACAGGTGCGGATTGAAAGGTCTGTCTTTGGGCTGGAAATGAAATAAAATTCATAAATCAAAGTGGATGCCTTCATAGGGAGCCCAGCTGGCTGCGCTGAATTGTCCCAAAGATTGGATTATAGAATTAGCTAAGGAGCAAAGAGATCAACAGAAGAGATATTCTCCTGTTTTGTACTTATAATGTACTATTTTGGTTGGTGATTCCTCATTTGCAAAGATTTATCTGATGACGAAACTATGGCACGCATGCCACAGGGGGCGTGCAGAGCCATATTTGCTGGCACATCACTCTCAGATCTAGCACGCATGTGCGTGCCAGTCAGCTGATTTTTCGCTTTCTGTAGGGCCGGGGGATGCCATTTTCGCCCTCCCCAGGCTTCAGGAAAGCCTCAGGAGGCTGGGAAGGGTAAAAAACAGGCCTGACAGGCCAACTGGATGTTTGTTCCCGAACTTCCAGTTGGCTCATTGGGGCTGGTTTTCCCCCTGCCCAGACTCCGGAGGCTTTCCTGAAGCCTGGGGAGGGTGAAACCGGCCTCAACGGGTCATCCAGAAGTTCAGAAATGATCCATTTCCGGCTTCCGGAAGGCCTCCGGGAGGCTGGAGGAGACCATTTTTGCCCTCCCCGGGCTTCATGAAAGCCTCCAGTGCCTGGGAGGGTTGTGCACATATGCGCAGGTGGGCAGGGAGGATTGAATTGATGTGGGCATGTGTGTGCATGTCATGGCACACGCAATTTTGGCACGCCATAAGAAAAAGGTTTGCCATCACTGTGATAGTCATTTAGGAAGGCAAAGGCTTAAATGTGGTAGGAATTGTCTTTTTCCTTGCCTCTCCTTACAAATGTCTCTCTTCCTTTCCAATGGTGTGTGAAATCTTGGGCAATCCATGTAAAGGGAAATCCCAACACAAAGAATTTGAATATGTTGTTCCAAGATATATAAATCCTAATTATTACTGTTGCTGTTGGCAGTCTTAAGTCCAAATAGCGCTGTCACAGATAGATGGATTAGCTTTGCTTCAAAAACAAAGTTATGCACACACACACATATTGTACCCTGTTTCCCTGAAAATAAGGCCTCTCTGGATAATAAGCCCAATTGGGCTTTTGAGTGCATGGGCTAAAATAAGCCCTCCCCCGGAAATACCCCGTTGGGCATGACCCCGTTCCCACCATAAATTACATTTTTCCTTACTCATGTGAGATGTGGTTGCCCTAAGAAAAAGCAGCGTATGTTTTTGGCTGCCATTCAGTAGTTTCTTTTTCTCCTTTAATTCAGTGGGTCTCTTGAAGCTGCATTTGGAATATCTCCAAGATTTGAAGGGTCATTATTTAGAATTCTCTGCTATTATTAGTGACGGTAAAAAAAAAATGCTGGCAAGGTTTTCAGAGCTAACTTATTGAAAAATGAGCAAGGCCTCATAGCGTCGGCCATCTTACCACCTTGAGAGGAATTGATTGAAGGAGAATGCAAAAAAACCTGCCAGTTGGATGACACTCTTGAGTATTCATCAACTCTGAAAGTTAATAGAAGAAGTTGAGACTGAAATATAGCAGATAGTAATTAAAAATATTTCTTTGGGATTTTTATTTTATTTATTTAGTTTGTACATGTACAAGATAATAGGTATAAGTATTGTTATGTAAGCTCCCCGTTGGGAGAGCGAGTACGTTCAGCGAAGCGTTGTTAGAGTTGTGTTGGAGAACACACAAACCAGCATACAGAGACACTNTAACCCGGTGTTGCCTTGGTATTTATTTATAGGGGGGAAATGTCCGGATCAAACATAATTTCTAATGTTGGATTTTCCCCCTTACCAGAGGGAGCCCCCTTGTGGACTACTGTGAAGCCATTATCATGGTAACTCCACTGCGCTGTACAGTAGAAGCCATTTTAAGGCACAACAAGCTGTATCTTAACACAACACACACCCTGAGGGGTTTTAGGGGTGTCTTAACCCCACAATATTTGTTTCCAGAGAGTACGTTATCTGTGTATCAGGTTTGGTTGAAATTGCTTGAGGCATTCCAGAGTTATGCTGGAACATACACACACACAGCCATTTTTTATATATAGAAGATTACAGAGTATCTATATTATATTACTGATGCTACGGTATTATGATTGCTGTTGCAATAGAAAAGATGCATGGACTTATTTTTTTCAACTAAATTGCAAGTGATGCTTGTATCCTAAGCATTTCAAAGTCATGCTTCTTCTTAGAGCCAGCATAAATGCTCAAAGAAATGAAAAAAGTTGTTTAAAAAGTCTTCATAGGCCTATAAAACACACCTTTCTGATTTCTGTAGGTGGTAGCTTTTGATCCAGACCTCGCAGAAAATGGTTCTCTTGTCTACAGCATCAGACCACCGAATAAGTTTTACAGTCTTAACAGTACGACGGGAAAGATTCGGACAACAGGGGTTGTGTTGGACAGAGAAAATCCAAACCCCCAAGAAGCTGAGCTCATGAGGAAGATTGTGGTCTCCGTCACTGACCGTATGTTTGTTTAGGTTATATTAGCTGCTTCCTTATATTTTTTGGCTAGGATTTACTTCCATATTGGTTTATATCAAAGGTCCCCAAACTTTGCAACTTTAAGACTTGTGGACTTCAACTCCCAGAATTCTCCAGCCAGCATAGCTGGATAGCAGAGTTGAAGTCCACAAATCTTAAAGTTGCTAATTTGAAGACCTCTGGTTTATATGGTATATTGCTGATAAAACTTTGACTTTTCTCTCAGATATTACAGGGTTTTGAAATGGCTATTTCTTTAAAAGTGCTACTTTCTAAATTCTGCTAGTGTAATTGATGGTTGGTTTTTGTTTTTTTTACATTTCCCAAGACAACCTAATCCTTGAAGATTTTCATCTCATTTTAAGATGGTTCACCATGACGATGTCCTAGAAAGTCTCTTTGACAGGTTTTAATGAAAAAGATGCTGGAGGAATTGATCTTGTGACTTTTCTGACCCCTGCAGGTGGGAGGCCACCATTACGGGCCACAAGTAGCGCCACAGTGTTTGTAAACTTACTAGATCTTAATGACAACGATCCCACCTTCCAGAACTTGCCCTTTATCACTGAGATTCCTGAGGGTCTTCCAGCAGGGTCATCTGTCTTCCAGGTGAGTCTTATTTTTCATCTTTAGTATATGCTAACTTTTAGTTGCAACATCTATTTCCAAGAACATATTTTGAACTACGTTAAAATTGGATTAGTGGTGGAAATGACTCATGGCATTTTCTTCTCAGCAGTTTGATTACAGTAGTCCTCAACTTACAGCCACAATCAGGATGAGAATTTCTACTGTTAAGCAAGGTGGTTGTTAAGTGAGTCATGTCCAATTTTACAACCTTTTTGCCATAATCATTAAGCAAATTGCCATGGTCCTTAAGTGAATCCAGCTTCCCCCCCACTGATTTTGCTTGCTGGGAAAGTCGCAAATGGCAATCACGTGATCTTAGGAACTACAATGTAAAAAAGATGAGGAGACTCTAGAAAGAGTGCAGAGAAGAGCAACAAAGATGATTAGGGGACTGGAGGCTAAAACATGAAGAACGGTTGCAAGAACTGGGTAGGTCTAGTTTAATGAAAAGAAGGACTAGGAGAGACATGATAGCAATGTTCCAGTATCTCAGGGGTTCTAACAAAGAAGAGGGAGTCAAACTATTTTCCAAGGCACCTGAGGGTAGAACAAGAAGGAATGGGTGGAAACTAATCAAGAAGAGAAGCAACCTAGAA